TTCCTACATTGTTCTTTTTTTTTTACTTCTTCTCGATCGAGAAACTTTTTTCTTAGACTTATACTGGAGAACGCTTATCTCTTCCATGACATCTTTCCGGTGTAATACTTGATCTCATGCTGATGTGGATGATTCTCTAAGGTCCAACACGTGTGTCTACGTCACCCCAACTCCACACGTAAACTCACGCGTTCGATCTAGAGCCATAATCCAATATTTCCGGATCATTTTCCCCCTTTTTTTCTGCAAGATGTTGATTTTTTCCAGGTTTTTTAAAGAAACTCTTCATTTAAACGAAATCTTCACTCTTGAAATTAGTTCTAAGCCAAGAGAAAATAAACCTTATTTACCTTAATTCCAATTCATTTTATCTTTTTCAATTATCTTTTTTATGAATAATAAAAAGAAAATGCAGATATTAAGATAAATATAGTTTAGATAAATTCTAGATACATTTTTTTTAATATTTCAATTATTTTTCAACAGAAAAAAATAGTAAAAATTTTATTTTTAGTATCGTTGTCGATGAAATATTTGAACTATGTATACCAAGTATGTCAGAATATTTCCTAAGATAACAGTTTCTATTTATTCAGTATCTCTATCCAACTCAAGTCAGAGTCATATTTGTCTAAGTTTAAAGTTATATATATATTCAACTATTGATAATTCTGAAGGTTCTAATAATAGACTTGTCAAGTTTATAAATAATTCAAATGAAAGAACAATGGGATAAAATATCTTAACAAGAATCTTAACAAAGCGTCGTTTTTCCCAAGAGAATGAGAGAGAGAAAGAGAGAAAAAACAGAAAAGAGGGAAGATTTAAGAAAATTAAGGAACTCTTACCAAAAAAAAGAAAACCCTCCTGTATAACCTGGGGCTGATTTTCACCCTAGACATGAATTTCAACGAAAAAACATTGATCCCAAAAAAAAGTTTTTAGTCATGGTAGATTTAGCTATATAAATTTCTAATCTGTTTTAGCTAAATTACAAACAGAAAATACATAAAGTATTTTTTTTGTACTATTTCTAATATTCCTAATTACAAAAATTTTTATTTCCAAATAAAATATGAATTCTCATAAACAATATTTTAAAAAAATCAAAACAACTTTTGGTAAAATATATTTTTTATAAGAATTCGCATCATTCATTTGGAAATAAACAAATTTTTGAAATATGAATAATGTTAGGAATATATAAAAAAAATAAAGTATAGGTATTACAGAAAGTTTTTTTTATATGAATTCACATCCTCTATTTAGAAATGAAAAAATGTGTTAATTAAAAATATTTAATTATTTATTCATTTATTTATTTTAAAATGTAAACCCGATTTTATTTAAATTATATTATATTTAAAAAAAATAAATGAAATAAATAATCAAATGAAAAAACGTTTTATAAAATATTTTATTTTTGTTACATTTCTAATATTTTTAAATAAAAATTTTTTTATCTTCCTAATATTATTCTTGTGGAAGAATTTCTTTAATTTCCAAATAAAAGTTGTGAATTGTCATAAAATAAATAAATAATAATCAAAATGAAAAAACTTTTTGTATAATAATATTTTTTTGCATACATCTATTATTTTTAATTGAAAAAAATTTTTTATTTCCAAATAAATCCAATAAACTTTTTTGTAAAATATTTTTTGTTATATTTTTAATAATCTCAATTAAAAAATTTTTTCATTTTCCAATAAAAGATGTCAATTTTTATTAAAAAAAAAAAAATAAATAATAATCAAATAAAACAAACTCTTTATAAAATATTTTTTTTTATATTTTTAATATTCTTAATGAAAAAAAATTTCTATTTCCAAATAGAAGATATGAATTTTTCTGAACAAAATAAAAAAAAATTTTTGTAAAACATTTTGTTATATTTCTAACATATTTTTGTAAGTCGGTTTAGATTGTAATATAAATAAATATTCCTTAAAATTTTTTTTTAATTTCCAAATAGAAGATGTGAATTCTTATAAAAAAATAAATCAAATAAGAAATCTTTTTGTAAAATAATTTTTTTTTTGTTTTCTTCCTAATATACTTAAGAGCATTTGAACCTTCGTGACGTCACAAATCATGGCGCATGACACGCAAACTTCTCAGGTATGTGAAAAGCACAATTTTGAATATTTTTTAAAAAAACCTTTTGGAAAATGTTCAGAATAACATAGACTCTGTCTGTTATGTGCGGAAAATTCAAAATTTTGCGTTTAAAACGTTTTTTAAACAATGTTAAGGTCACAAATCATGGCGCATGACACGCAAACTTCTCAGGTATGTGAAAAGCACAATTTTGAATATTTTTTAAAAAAACTTTTTGGAAAATGTTCAGTATAACATAGACTCTGTCTGTTATGTGCGAAAAATTCAAAATTTTGCGTATAAAACGTTTTTTAAACAATGTTTAAGTTGGTTGTCACAAGTAAGGAAAAATACACAAATTGCTTATATGTAGGCATTGTTTAAAAAACGTTTTAAACGCAAAATTTTGAATTTTCCGCACATAACAGACAGAGTCTATGTTATACTGAACATTTTCCAAAAAGTTTTTTTAAAAAATATTCAAAATTGTGCTTTTCACATACCTGAGAAGTTTGCGTGTCATGCGCCATGATTTGTGACGTCACGAAGGTTCAAATGCTCTTAATTGAAAATTTTTTTCATTTCCAAATAGAAAATATGAATTATAAATTCTTATATATATTAGATACAGAATGAAATGAAATCTTTTTGAAAAAGACATTTCATTATCCCTTAATGAATCTCTTTTTAAAGTCCTTTTGACCAGGGCAAGTTTTCCGCATGGTTAAAAGCTTGCAAATGTTACCTCTGCGAGTAAAGTGCAGTAATGGAGTAATATTACCTCGATGGAGGTAATATTGCATTAACTCTCTCTCTCTCTCTCTCTCGCGATGATGCGTGTTCCATGCGCAATATATTTTCGCATATACATAACGCAAAATATAAGCACGCATATATATATATATATATATATATTTTATGAAAATCATAAACTTCTATGTCAATTAATTTGTTATCTTTTGAAGTGCGCATATAAACAATCCATTTACTTCTTGTCATTAAATATAATTTATTATAATAGAAAAAAAAATTAATTTTTTAATTTCATCGCATATTTATTTTAATTAACACTTTATATTCTCGAGTGTATCCTCATTATTTCTATATATATTAAATTTGTGCAATCCACTTAAATACGACGTCAAGTTGCATAATCAACGTTGAAAATAATTTTCAATATCTCTCAAATGAAAATAATGATATTTCATTATGATTCTCGCGTATATAAATAAAGTCGTATTAAAAAAAAATAAAGTGGACTTAATTTTTTTTACCTTATGTCTATATAAAATTAAAATTAGATCATTAAATGTTAAATTTGCAGCATATTAAAAGGTTTTTGTTTTCTCTTCTTAGCGAGAGAAATTTTCACCTTTGTAGATTTAAACGCTACAAGGAGTTTCTTCCTCTTCTTCTTCTTCTTCTTCTTCTTCTTCAAAGAAGTTATTTGTTCTTTGGGAAAAATTAGTTAGCCCAGTGCGCAAATTATATCCTCTCTTTTTTTCAGGGGGGATAAACTCATTTCCTTTCTTTTCTCTACAGAAATTCCTATTCACTTAAACTTTCCGCGAGTTCTAATTTCTATGCCACTTTCTCATTAATGACGATGTCAGATATTTAATCTCAAAAAAAAAAAAAAATTAAAAGTTTAAAGCTGTTAATTATATTATTAGTGAAAAATTATTTAATTTCTATTATCATTTTAAATATTTAAATTTTTATAATTTATTGCAAAAAGAAATTTTGCAAAAAGATATTTATAACTACAAGAATGTCCAGCAAAATTCTATATACAATTGTTTGATGTTTATGCTATAAATAATTTAAGAAGAGAATTTGCCAAAGGCTGCTGGATACAAAGCATTCATTAAAGCTTCTACAAATATAAACAAAACTCCACCATGAGCTTAATTAACTAAATGTCAACTTTAAATTATATTTTGTGTGCCTAATTATTTTTTTTGCATTATATAATTATAGAAAAAAATCGAATAATAATAATAATAAAATATATTAAATAATTTATTATTATTTTTAGATATTATTTCATAGGCTAAATAAATATAATTGTTCTTGATTGATATATGAAAATTGAATTTTTTTTTCAAAAATTATAACAAATGAAATGCATTCTCTCTCTCTCTCTCTGATTTTCAAAGCATTAATTAAAATCTGTGTCTAGATTTAAAATTGATTTGAACCGCATCCATTGGAGCAAACGTCAACTGCAGTTCATTAATTTTCGTTGAAAGACATGATTTATAACCATCATTTTAGAAAAAAAAAGAATGAGAAGTTTTTAATTCAAATATGAATTTTAAAAGCATGTAACAAATTATATTTTAATTAATATAGAAAGAAAATAAAAGCTTTCCTCCCTTTTCCCGTATCATTTGCGCGCACAAAGAATATATATCTACACAGTGGAATATTTCATATTCATATTCAGTAATATGAAATAGTACTTAAAAATAGAATATTAAATTTATACTAATAACTTTCAAATTTAATTACTTAAGGAAAAGTGAACAATATGAGAATTAGTAAAAAAAAATAATCAAAAAAGCTATATGAAATAAGAAAAATAAATTATTTTTGGAAAAAGGGAGAAAAAAGAATTAATTAAAAAATTAAATACATTATTACCGTGAAATAAAAAAATGTAATAAAATATGAAACCAGAGTAAAAAAATGAAAACAAATTCGTAGTTGTATTTGATAAAGAGTATAAAAAAAAGTTAATACTAAAATCTATAAAATCGATTATAGCTTCGAGGATAAAATTGTTTTTTTTTTTTAAGAAAAAAGGGAAATTGCAATCTTTGAAAAAGAATATCTTAATGTATAATCAATATAAAATAAAAAGTATGGGAAAAATAAAGAATATCGTTTGCCCTCACCTCGAATTGCTGGAAGCGACGCTATTGTTTGAACGTGACCGCCGGCTTTTTAGGGAATCACCTCTATTTACTACTCCTTTTCCGGTTATGCTAAAGTGCCTCAGTCGATAATATTCTTCCTCAACTCCCGTATTTGGCATACTTGCAACTCGTGACCTCTGTTGGGGTAAGCATAGATAATTTGGACGTCCGGATGCTCGACTTCCGGGTGTTTTCACAGATTGTGAACGACTATGATGAGGGCTGCAATATCTGGAAAAAAAAATTTTCATTTTTTTTTATTTTTAACCCGATTTTTCGTATTTTATAATACATGAGAAATTTAAAAAAAAAAATAATCAAAAAATTAAAACAGAAATTGATAAATTACACCCAGGGAAAAGACATATTTTGTCTCAGAACCAAATAATTAATTGTTACAAATAAATTATATTTTTAAATAAAAAATTTATTTGTTGCAAATAAATTAAATTTTTATTTACGCTAAATAAATAGACTGAGACAAATATACATTTATCTGACTCAAATATATTATATTTGGTTTAAATAAAACATTTCTCGATGTGTAAAATATTTTCGCCGGAAAGCAAGAAAAAATTCATAAAATTTATTTTATTAACATAAATGGACCAATTTTTAGTTTAATATTTATGTACTACTGGTTTTAATGTACAAAAAACTTTTAATTCCTTTTTTTTGGTATTGTATGAAAAATAATTTCCTATATTTTTTTAAATACTTTTTTTGTATTAAAAGGAAACGGTGTTTTTTTCATTTAGCGCACGGATTCAATGTTAAAATTTCATTCCAGAAAGGCTCGCATAATTAATAGGCTGAAATAAGCGTTTTTAGTAGTAGAGAGCACTTTGCAGACTCGCGTGAGAATTGGCGTGAAAAGACGACGGGAAATTCTTGGCATTAAAGTGAAGGAGGGAAAAAAAATAGTTTCTTGATAAAAAAAAAAAAAAAAATTTGAAGAGCTTCAAAAAAATACTCTAAAAGTCAATTTTCCTTGCTTTAAAAAATTAAAAATAGATATCGGTTATCAAAATTACATTTTACAACAGAATGTCAAGAATATTTTAATGTGCTAATATTTAAAATACCAAATGGAAAATTTTATTTTATTTCAAATATCTACAAAATACTAATTTCATCTCCATTATTACTAAAAATTATTATTTTTATTATTATTGTTCGTTCAAATATTTACTTTATATCAGAATTTGATAAAAATGCATTAAATTTATTTACACTGAATATTACAACACTCCTCGTGTTTCTGATCCTATGCATATTTTGTTTATTTATTCATTATTGGAAATTTTGAATAGAAAAGCAAAAATATATCGTTGAAAAATGCGTTGAGAGAGAGAAAAAAAAACCACAAATATTTAAAGTAAATAAATTGTATTTTTTTTGTTTTCTTCTTTTTTTCGTTAATAATTATTTTGATGTAATTAAATATATCAAATATATACACAAATAAGTGAATTGATTCTGATAATGGTCTGCCACATGAATCGAACCAGAAGGGTTTGCCTATTCATAAAGCTATTCCACTGATTCTGCGTATACTACTTGCAAAACGGTTTCTAACAAAACAATGAACAATATATATATATATATATATATATATATATACACAGTATTACAATTGAAATATAAAGCCAACAAGTTTCGTAATTAATTATTCAATATTGCTCGAGCTATGAAAAAATAGTTCCAATATTACATAACAGTTATATATATCTATACACAATAATAACTAAAATCAATATTTAAAATTAACGTTCCAAAACCTTTATTTCAATTCTTCATTTTTTTTGTAGCAAAAAATTAAAACGGCAAAAAATTTTTAATTTGTGTCCGTAAATATTCTTTAAATAAAAATTTATAAAATTTAATTACATTAAAAAATTTTTTAATTAAATTACACAAATTAAATTACGTTAAATTTAATTAAATTACAATTTTTTTAATTTGTCCAAAGGAATAATTTATTTTTAAATAAATGTATTTTATTTTATTTCTATTTATATATAATTATAATTGGAATAATTTAATTTTAATCATTTAATTTTAATATTTTAATTTAAAAATTTTAATTGCAATATTTTAATTTAAAAATTTTAATTGCAATATTTTAATTTTAATATTTTAATTGTAATAATTTAATTTTAATAATTAAATTTTTAAAAAAATATTTTTTAATTAAACAGTGCATTAATTGCATTAAATAATGGAATGCAGTTAATTAGCCAAGGTTTTCGAGTTTATTTCGCGTGATCTAAAGTATTTTATTTTCAACGGACTTTACGAGGCGAGATCATTAACAGCATTTTAGCCCATTTCAAAATAGTTAAATTCAAACTAAAACACGTAATCTTTGTTCTCGCGAGGAAGTGCTGTCATCTTAACTGTTTTACAAACTCTCTCTCTCTCTCTCACTAATAATATTGAAAGTTTTCGGCCTTCATTATATATTCGTATATTTTGTCGATTTTAATTGAAATGAAACAAAATGAATAAAGAAAATTTTTTCCCCCACAAAAATTATTCAAGGTTTACAAATTCTAATCTGACTTCTATATATTCTATAGATAACTTTCAAGTACGTTACCATTAACCTCCAGTTTTAAATTCCTCTGTGAATATATTTTAATTGTAAAAGAAAATAGTTCACGCTAAAGTGTTGAAAATCAAAAAAGTTAATTAAACTTTGAAATTTTTCCCTGAATTTATACATATATACACAAATGTAATTTATAAGCAATCAATCGTCATGGATGAAGGAAAAAAACTTTAATTGAACCAATTAAACAGAGATGTTGAATATAAAAAAAAAAAAATTTCCATAGATTTCTTTTTTAATGATCATTAAAATAAAAAAGAATTTTTTTGAAATCAAATAAATATTTATTTACAGTAGCTTTTTTAAAATTCATGTAAATATTTTTTTCATTTTTTTACCAACAAAATTTTTTCATTCTTTTAAAATTCAAGTAAAATATTTTTTTCATTTTTTGAAATTTTTCTTAATCTTTTTTTCTGTGAATGGATCAATTTTTTTTCACTATTCAGATTAACTCGGATTAGCCAACTAACTTTTTCAAAAGTAATTTTTTTCCCACGAAATAATTTTGTAATATTAAAAATAATTTTTGTTGAATAAAAAAAAAGTCTGAAAGCAGAAGTTAGCAATTAATCACAGAGTTGGACAGCTTTTTTATACGATTTCTAGGGAAAAAAAAACATTTTTTTTCCAGAATTCGCAATTTAAGTATACCTACAGAATAATCTGCAAGAATAATACTTTTACGCGGGGAAAAATTGACTTTCAATCGAGGTCAATTTTTTTTTGCAAATTTAGCACATTTACGATTTCATAAAATTGCAATCTCTCTAATTATAATACCAAAAAAATGGTATCATAAAAATGTTAAAATAAAAAATTAAAATTTTTTTAACATATTATTTATTATTAATTAATTAATATTATTGAAAAATAATAGTAATTATACTAATTGTAGTTATAATAATAATAATTATTATTATTATTATTATTATTGTAATAACTATTATTAGTATTATTATTGGGTAAAATAATATAAAATGTATAAAAAAATATTTTAGAAACAAGGGCAAAAATTCTTATAAATATATCAACTCTTAATAAGAACAAGAAAATATGTGATTTATAAATCATTGTTTTTTTTCCTTATTTTCTTATTTCACCCGCAATCCTTTTTGATGGGACAATTTTTTTTTTATTTCACCCCTAAAAATGTACAGATTATTTACTCATGTCCCATGGTGCTTAGTATATAGATGATAAGGGGCAGTTTCAAAAGTCAGTGTATAAGTTTCATGAAGTTTTTTTCAAGGGATGAAATTCAGGACTTAAATAGCTATATATAAGGGTTCTATTTCTCTCTCTCTCTTTTTCTCTGCGTTTTATTCTCATTTTCCCAAAGGCACTTAACCATTTATTTTTTTTCCTTTCTTTTAGAAAACTTTTTGTAAATGCTGTTATACCCACTGACGAGGGCTGTTATCGCGTACCGCAACCGACCAACTTAAATGCTATTATTATATAAAAATTTTTCTTATAAAAAAAGAATGTGAATCAACGCAATTTACAACTTTTAATTACAAACAATGAACTTATATTTAAATTACTAATGTTGCAAAACAATTTTTCTTTAAATTACCTACAGGAAATTTTAAGCAAAAAAAAAAAAAAAAATTCCATTTATTTCAATTTAAGTTTGATATGCAATTTAAAAAATGTAATTTAGTTTTTAATTTACATGAATTATAATACAAGTTTTGTTAAGCAATACTAAAAGAATAATAAATATAATAAGAATAAGAAAATGAATAATAAAATAAATAAAAGAAAAATAAAAAAAAATTGTTATACATAATAATTTTAAAATTTGAAATTATATAGTATGACTTTTGCATAATAACAGTTATATAATGGAAAAAAAATCAATAACCAAATGGTTAAATAAAACTATTTTTGCTATGTAAAAAAATGGTAAAATTCATATTTAAAAAGTAAAAAAAAAAATTATTTTAAATTGTGATTCGCACTTAAACGTGCTATATATAAGCATTGCTCATAAACATAAAAAGCAAGAGATAATGTACTTTTGAAAAAAAGTTACCTCGAGTACGAGTATTTCATTGAAAAATGAATAAAAAATGTTCAAGTTTTGAAGTACACTTTTGCGGTTTTCACATTTATAGAACTTTAATTATTCTCCTTCTGAGATTTTGATATACAGAAAAGAGAGCAACTTTTGAAAACATTTTCTTGATTTCAAGTATAGTAAAATAAAGATTTTCTTTCAAAATTTTTCAAAGGATTTCCACTTTCGATTTTTTAAAACAAAACAACCACTTTGTCTAAAAAAGAAACTACCCTCACGCTAATTAAAATATATGAATAAATATATTCATAATTTAAAATTCTTTTAAATAAAAAGAAAAAAGATTTAGTTTTTTTAACCATTTTCTTTTAATAGTTGATTTTGATAATTTATAAAAGCGTACATAAATAAATCAAGCCAAGTTTATGGTGACGATTTAAGCACGTTTTAGTCTCCAGAGAAAGGAATAACATTCTTCTCTGCGTTACCGAAACTAAAGCGTAAAATTTATATTTCCCTAGGAAGCATTTAATTTTTGTTATACTATGAAAAAACTCAATAAATTATAATTTCAATTTAATTTAAAATTTTTTTTTCACAATTTATAATATTGAAAATTTTTTTTACAATTGTAGCATTGATTTTTCAAAATTAAAATTTCTCTCAGTTATTAATTATATATATATATATATATAAATGTGAAACATATTATAAAAATTAACAAAAAGGTAAATTCTGCAATAATTGTTTTATTTAGTACAATAGTAAAGCAAATGAAGAAAACTTTCATTTTCCATATTGAATCCAATTATCAGATTATTGCTTTTATTTGAGGATTTATTAATGTGACAAAAAATTTTAAATTAACTCTTTCAAAGGTGATATTAGCTTTTCCAGTTTCAATATATTTTTAAATGGTTTTATTATTTTTCCCCATTATTGGAAATTAAAGCCCAAAACGGCTATGTGATAAAATAATAAAAAAAATAAATAATTGGACAAATAATTATCGATCCAAAAAAATAAAACTGTTGACCTCGATTATTTTTTTTGTGTTAGAATATAAAGAAAAACAGTCATACATTGTTAAATGTTGGAATGAGTCAAGACTTAAGACAAGTAATTTTCTGAAAGAAAGGTCTCTTCGTGCAGGAAAAAAGTTATACAACTTTAAAGTTTTCTATGTCCCTCGTCCCGACTGCTTTTTCTCAGATTAAAGTCTTTTCCCACAATAGAGACAGGCAGTTTCAAGATCATTTTACACGTTTTAAAATGTCAAATATTTTATATACTACATATAGAAATTGTTCCATTGACCTTTATCTCATCCAAGAATGTACATAAAAAATTAATTTTCACTAAAAATTGATCATATGAGAATTCTTTTATATGAAAACAAATTATTTGATTTAAATAATCGGTTACTTGACTATTATCAAATAAATATTTATAAATAATTTTTTTTTCTATTATATATTAAATAAACTGTATTTAATCAATAATTTTTGTATTTGAAACAAATACAATTGACTCAAATTAAATGTAAAATAATATTTAATACAAATAAATATTTATTATAAATATTTATGCCAAGTAAATGATTATTATTTGAAACAAATTTTTATTTCAGTGCACTAAATATGAAAGATTGTATATAAAAGTGGCCCGAGGCGAAATTTAAGCCCTAATTTACAAGGAGTAAAGTAGAGTTAAACAGACCCTCTTTAGCTTCCTCAACTAGTCGCAAATTTCCCTTTCTTCCACGTTTGGATTCAAAGTAGGGTCTAAAAATTGATTAAAATATTGAAAATTTTGAAATTGCTCTAATTCTATTAATTTTTTGAAAACGCTTCAAAATATGTTAATTCCAGTTTTTAAAGGGTAATTAAAGAAATATTGTGTGAAGAAAAAATTCATTTTGCTTTAATCAAAATAATTAAAAGAGTTTTTTTTTGCATTTTTTTGTACTTCTTTAATCGAACTAGACCCTCTTTAGCTTCCTCAACCAGTCGCAAATTTACCTTTCTTCCACGTTTGGATGCAAAGGAGGGCCTACGGGAGTCTACAAGATCGTAAAGAGGGCCTATTTAGGTTCTAAGGGAAGCTAAAGACGATTAAAATTTCGCCTCGGGGGGACGCATTATTATCCCATAAAAATAATTAGTTAGAATTTTGATTTGAATAAATTTTATTGGATATAATTATTTTTTAGACGAATTTTCATTTTTCGAATTAGAATTTGACACAATTTTTCTTTAAACGAATTTTTATTGTACTGAATTGTTAAAACACCGAATTTTTATTTGTCCGAAATTGCAAATGTCCGAACAAACAATCAACAGAAATATTTGGCGCGTTTTTTAAAATTGACCAATTAGAAATTGTCATTTACAATTTCGGACAAATAAAAATTCGGTGTTTTAACAATTCAGTACAATAAAAATTCGTTTAAAGAAAAATTGTGTCAAATTCTAATTCGAAAAATGAAAATTCGTCTAAAAAATAATTATATCCAATAAAATTTATTCAAATCGAAATTCTAACTAATTATTTTTATGGGATAATAATGCGCTCCTATAAAAGTTTGATTAAAAAAAAAGAAAAGAAAATAATTCATTTTGAAAAACAAATTTAAATTTACAGTTGCAAATTTTCTCACAATACCTTTGTGTCGTTTATTTTTTTGTCCAATGGAAATCACTTTACCGATATATATATATATGGAAAAAAGAAAAATTTTTAAATAAAATATTTGTCTGTTATTCCCTCTGTTTTTTTAATATCTCTTGAATTTTTTTTCCTTTTAATAAAAAAATCCTCTTGTTATCGAATTGGTGTGCGGAGTGTGAAATAAAATACCAATAAAAATAATTCGAATAAAAATAAATGAATAAATCAAGCTGCTCAGATCAAAATGAAAATCAACGTTCTAGCTTTTTTGATATATATAATAATAATAATAATAAACAATTCCTAATTCGTTCACATATATTTTTTTTCTCTGGAATTCGTATCGATATGGTGTAGATCTATTGATAAATGCCAACTCGCGTGCAATATGCGGCCCTGTACTTCTCATAATTCACCAGATAAGTAGACTCTGTGAGAAGTTTTCTCTCTCTATATACCATATAAGGGAAGTGAGAAATTTCTAAGCTAATTTTATTCAGGAAATTTTCACGAAAAAAAAAACGATATCACTTCTCCTTTTTTTCTAGAGCAATCTTTTTCGATATTTTCATCGCCGCCATGTCAATATTTTTAAAATTCATTTTTTTTATAAATAAAAATTTTTAATCAAGAAATAGAAAACAAAATATGAAAAAAAATTTGTTATTAAAAATGTGAATTTTTTAAATGCGAAATTTTTTTTTCCTCAAATTATTATTTTGGAGCAAAGAAAAAAAATTCTGCGTCAAAATATGAACACAAAGACACACAACTAATTTTCTCGGGAAGAAACTAGATCAAGCTTATCTCCTTGCATAAGTTCACTGATGCCTTTACTACTTAATTGCACATCAAGAGGTTTTAACCTAGAATTTAGGCGTACATGAATTTGCAGTCAATTAGAATGTAACTGACATAGGGAAATAGTAAATTCAAAGTTCCTGCGATCAACAACTGATATGAAACTGAAAATCACTAAAGGCGGATTAATACCTTTTTAAATGGATAAAATTTTGTATTATAGTATTTATAATTCTGCACTAATTTTTCTTTTTTTATAAATGTAAGCCCGAAAAATTGCAATTAAATAAATAAATAAAAAAAATTTTTACCTAATAATAATATAGAACTAAAGTTCTAAAAAATTTTCATTGAAATATTTCTTTTAACTTTTATTTCAATTTTTGCGAAAAGGGACTTTTATTGTCTTCGTTATAATTTTTTTGAATTTTTTGAAATTAAATTAAAATAATTAAAATATTTTATTTTTTTATTAATAAATATTTTTTGAGATTCACTTTTATTTATTACAATAAAAAACAATCGATTTGAATTCGAAACTAGAATTGCTCAAATTCTTTTTATAAATCGAATTGGACAATTCAAAACGTTACGAATCAAATTTTCCTTCGAGCATATAGCTTTAATAAATATATTATCTCTAATATAATATCTATAATATACGAAGAATATAGTCCTCTATGTATATATATAATAAACATATAAGTTATACTATCGAAACTTTATGCTTTCCAATTTCATGATTATGTGTTTAATGGATTTATGGAATTTAATGTATCATATATATACATATGCCTGCATATATGGTTTCTAACTAAATGTAGCAATATCAAAATGAATATTTTGTAAGTGATACTTACAAATATAATAAATTATATAATTTCATATTAAATGCAGGGAAATTATATAATTAATTATTAATTATTATTTTACACCGAAAAAATATTTTGAGAAATATTTCACAATTAATTTTTAAATTTTTATTTTAATATAAAAGTATTAATTAAAAAAGAGGTTTTTAACTTTCTAATAAAAATTCTATCTTTATATTTAAAATTATTTTTCTCATGAAAGAAATTTTTATTTTCATCATTACCTTGTTTTATCAAGACAAATCTTTAATTCAGAAAAACAATAAATTTTTTTGCAAACATTTCAGTTCTCTTCTTCTCTTGTTTATAATTGATCTTTGTTCCACTTTAAAAATCAACACATCTGCGGTTCTAATTTAGTAGCGACGAAAATAAATGTAAACTCTATAATTACCAAGTTTGAGCATTTATTTTTCACACAATACTCAACTCTACTTTTTTTTGTGATATTTCAGTAAATATTTCGATAGTTTTTTTAATTAATTTTTTTTTAGTTTATACTAATTTACTTTAAATTTTAATTACTGACTCATTTTTTCCCCTTAATTCTCAGTTAAAAATTTTTACAAACTCAAATTTACTGAGAATGTTTCTTTTCGCGCGAATATTTTTTTTTTAGATGATGCGTCTTATATCCATGTTTTCTCAAAGATTTTGTGCACGTCAAACAGAATTTATTACCTTTTGCAAAGCCATCATCGCAAGAGAGATGTTTTCCTTGTATATTTCATTTTTAATGAAAGAAAGAGAATAAAAAAAAAAGACGAGAGCTATGCATGGAAAATATGAAAAAAATAAAGCCAAAGAGAGTACACTAACCTCATCTCGATGTCATGAATCTCCTGGAAAGTCAAGGTGTTAGCAACGTCGAGAAGTTGACGCATATTTTCTTCACGACGCATTGCATCCGAGTCGGTACGTAAAAGTATTGTGGCTGCAGGTGCATCCAGCGAAAGTGAAGGTTGCTGAACCACAATTGTGGCTTGAGCTGTTCTTTTGGTCCCACCGGTATTTCCGCCTATTCAAAACAAAAAAAAAAAAAAAAAAAACAAAAAAATTAGTATCGACTTCATGAAAAATCAGTTCGTATCAGATTGTCAAATTTTTTTTTATCCATTTTTTTTTATACAATTTCTGAAATTTACGAACTGAATAAAATGCAACTTTTCCAATTGAAAACACTATCTTTTGGCATTTTTTAAAAATCGTAATTATAAAAAAAAAATTTATAAACGTAAAGAAAATAAATATCAAATTTTATAAAAGCAGCTTCAAATTTTGTAAAAGTATTTTCAAGTCGTGGAAAATATTGTAAAAAGCGAAATTTCCATATAAGAAATACTAATCTTTAATAAAATTTTATTATAACTATAGTAAATTTCATAAAGGTTTATTAAAAATTAGTATTTCTTATATGGAAATTTCGCATTATACAATATTTTCCACGACTTGAAAAATACTTTTATAAAATTTAAAAATGCTTTTATAAAATTTGATATTTATTTTCTTTTTGTGTATTAAAAACAATCTCTGTAAAAAAATGTAAATTCATAATTTGATTTTTTCAAGATAGCAATTTCGATTGATAAAAAGCCAACTCACTAAAAAAAATAATAAAAATTTTGTAAAACAGGAAACAAAGCGTGTTTCGTGTACCAATTTTTGCAAGCACATTCTCATCTTGTATCACACTACTTTTCTTAAGTTCTTTTAATTTTTAATTTTTTTCTATTTCAAAACTAAATTTTTAAATATTCAAATTTTATTTTAAAAAAAGACAAAATAAAAGAACGAAAACTTCAAATTAAACAAAAATTTTCTGATTAAGAAAACTTTTTTTTTTTGTAAATTAAGAGAACTTAAGAAATTCATTGGAAAAAAAACAAAATGGTTTTCCAATTGTCATCATCAGTAGTGTACGCTGAATGCATATCAAACGCAAGTCAGTGAGCAAGTGAGACGATTCACAGAGAAATACCTTGACAATCAATCTTTCAAAATCGGTTTTTTCTTTCAAAAGTAGGTCACTTGGCTCGAAAAATTATATAAATATATTATCGAGAAAAAAAAATAATTTCAAAAAGAAAATAATTAAAAAAAATTTTTTTAAATGAAAATAATTTTTAAATAATTCCAAAAAAGGAAATAATTTAAAAAAAAACAAATAAAATATTTCAAAAAAAGTAAATGTGAAAAAAGATTAATTATTATTGATTCCGGGAGTTTTTAATATATCAAAAAGGACCAAAGCACTTTGTAAATTTAAATTGAGAATTACAATTTTTTTTTATTTAAAGCTGGGTCAAAGCGATAAAAATATATTCAAGCTATTACGATTTTTTCAAAATATTGTCTCAAATCATTTTTATGACAGATAAAACATTAAAATGTTTTTTAAATATCAAATTTTTTAACAATTTTTATTTATTTTTATTATTTATAAAGCTCGCGAAAGGTGAATTTTTTTTTTAAATTACATTTACATTAGAAAGTAGAGATTTTGTTTAAAAATCCACTAAATCTAGGAAGTGCTTGCGTGCATATTGATGAAGAGAGCTTAATAAACAGAATGCAGAGTAAATGTAAATAAATTAACAAACAAAAAAAACAACATGTGTATAAAATTTCATATATTTTATATTTCATTCTGTTGAATTGTATATATAAAATATTTTAATATTCTTTTTTTTGTAATATCGGTTATCTTCGATATAACAAATTTTTTTTAATAAAAAAAAAAAAATAAATTTGTTACTGCGAAAATCAAATCACGTACCGCAAATAAACTTTAGCAAAAAAAAAAAATTTATTATCAGCAGAGAGAGATTACATTAGAATGCATTTCGTGACCAAAAGCAAAGTGTAAACACGAATGTATGCATATAAAGGAAGTATAACTAATATCAGCTATTCAGTGAAGCATATTTATTTAACGAATAATAAAAATCAAAAATTAAATAGAACTTAACATAAAAATATTTTAATTATATTTTTATATTATATAATATATAAAAATAAAATTGAATATATTAAAACTATTTTATTAATGTTTAATAAATTAATTTAATTAGATTTGAATTTAAATTTAAAAAATCCAAATTTGTTTGAAAAATTGAAAATTAGTTTAGTACACATATAATTTAATTCTAGATTGTTACACTTTGAATTAATAAAGGAAATTAATTATATTGAAAAATTCATTTCAGAGAAAAAACTGTGGTTTTTAATTTGCGCATTTTCAATTTGTTTTCGTCAGCTATACATGTTTTCTACTTGCTTTCACAAGCAACGAGTTTTCATTTAGGACCCATCGTATATGAAACACACAGACCCTACTGCGTTTGGCGTGCATAGAGCTGGTCGCTTAAAAAAAAGAATTTTTTTCTTTTGCTATATTCTCGTGACAGGAAGCAAGATAAGGGCTGCGAAATAAAACATGAATGTGAGAAACATATGAAGCTGTATAGTTGCATATGTATAGACAAAACTATATAGCAAATGCGAAATTACAGCACACAGAAAAAGCAACGAGATGAATTGTCTCTCTCTCAACTTGCGCGAAACATCATCTCACGAATAGAAAATAAACTAACACAATCAACAATCAAAAGAAATTTTTTCACTTTAATTATTATTTTTAACATTTTCTATGTGGATAAAATTATTTAATATAGAAAAAAAATATTCCATACAATAAAAAAAAAATTTAATGATTGAAAATAATTTACTATCAATATTAAATATCAGATATTAAATTAATATAAATAATAATTATTGATCACTAAATTAAATAATTATAATGATTTCGATTTTGAATTTCGAATACAAGAGACATTTTATTTCAAACATTTTCAAAAAAAACTAAGTTTTCTTTTCACAATTTTGCAATTTGTAAAAATGAGTTTTTATTTATTTTTCAAACGTAAAAAAACAAAAATTAAAGTCAATAAAAATAAATTGTAAACTTTAAATTCTGACACACTTTTCAAATTCTATTTTTTTCTAAAAAAAGTGTATTAAAAAATCATTTTTATGGTCTTGCTTATGAAAACGGTTTGACATAGAATGACCCAGAAATAATATTTGAAATATTTTCGAATTTTTTGAATATGAAAAAATAATGATTACTTATTTTGTTTTCGATAATCAAAAAGTGAAAAGCAATAGTTGAAATAAAAGCCCATATAGTTAATGGCGCCAAAATAAAGAACAAGAAACAGAAAGCTCACACGCCGCATTCGTAATTTTTTTTTTTTTTTGTTACCAACAGATCGCAACCATGAAAAGACGCCCAAAATTATAAAATAGGATATTTTTATTCCATGACAAATAAACGCTTTTAATTTTTAAAACGTAAAAAATTATTAAAAGCTCCAGAGAAAAAACATTACTTTTAGAAAAATGTTTTTTTTGTTTTTTTTATATTAACGAATGTTATTTTATTTGAAATATTTTTTTAAAAATAAAACCTCGGAATGTAAAAATAAACACGAATAATTTTTTTTTGAAACATAAAACTGGTAGAAAATAAAAATTTTAAATAATTAAATTAGTAAAATATATATGAAAAGAAAAACATCACATGCAATCCACTATATATATATAACAGCAAAACAAAATATAAAAAAATATTACACTACGCTCAATTTTAGATATAAAAAATGTTTCGTTATTGTGTGAATGAAAGGAAAAAATGTTTTCTATGAAAAAAAAGAATGAATTATTAATTATTCTCTCGATTATTTCAGGAGTCTTTTCTCAGCCAGCGAACTATACCTATTGCGCAAAACGGGAAAATGAGCCTGACCCATGTATGAATGGCTGAAACGAGGGGATGAGATTCTGAAAGAAAGAACATCAATTCATTTCTTCACAATGGTCACTAATTTTTTTTTCTTTCTCATTATCATCATCATCATCGATGAATTTGATGGGACCTTGCTCATAATTGACATATTGGATAATATAATCGAACACAGAAAAAAATCATTTAAAAACTGACATTTCTTTTTTTTGTGTAAATCGATTTTATTTAACCAATGTTTAAATAAAATTTGACAAACATTCAAATGGTGAAACCAAATACGTGTTTTCATTTACTTTCGGTTTATTTGTATAATCAATTAACTGGTCCCGGGATTAGAGAAATTAGCGTTTTGTCGATATAAAAAAAAAGAAAAAGAACGTGAAAAATATTTCAGTATTTAAATTCCATAACCTTTAATTAAAATTTATTGAACACTTTACTCTTTTATGCAAATGGTAGTAGCGACTCGAGGCAAATTGGTTAATTATTGTAATTTGCTTGACCGAGTCGAATTTCTCTTTGGGATAGGAAATTTTTTTTTTTTTTTTTAATAATCGAGAAAAAAGTGTTGATCAATCTAGTTTAACGATTCGGTTTTAAAAAGGAAAAAAGATTTCAATTTTTAAAAATTTATACATTTTGCAATTTAAATAAAATTTGTAATTTTACAAGTAAAATAGAAAAAGAAGTCTATTTTATGAAAGTTTTTTTTTAATTATTAAAAAATTGAAATGGTTTTGAAAATTTTTTTTTGTAAAATAAAAAATAATTTTAGTAATATTTATATTTTTAAGAAAAGTTTTGATTTTTCTCGACACTTTATTAAAAGCAATTAATTTTTGTTCTCCGTCTCATACGAAGAAGCTATGTCGTTTTTAGAATTTTCAATTACGAGCTTTGTAAAAATCTCGTGTGAATTTTCCCGTGAAAAAAAAGAAGAACTCGACTACCTGTGTTGCAGCGATAAATTTAAATATAAATTCCCGACACATTGATACACTATAAACTGTGTTTCCTGTTTGTGTTGTGTGTGGTGGGAAAAGATGTTTCGAACCCGATTGGCCACGACCGATCGATATATCGTGTGCCAAGTGGAAAAACTGGAAAAAAGAATAGACAAATATTTTTCCTCTTATGCTCCCGAGAGTTGATTGCATGTTTTCTTATAATCAGGAGGGTTTTTTTTTCGTTTATAATTCGATTATTCACTTTAAGTCCAAACAGTTTCTATATTAATAATAATATAGAAAATATTTTTTTCCTTTTATAATTTTGAAACATTCTTTCTAACAAGGGGAAAATTTAGAGGAAAAAAATTTTCTTTCCCTTCCCTTCTTACACGATTTTTACAAAAAAAAAATTTCTTTTCAATGAATAGACAAAAAAAAACTCACCTGCCGTTCTGCCTCGACCTCTAGAACCAACGATCGATGTTTGAGTGTTGCATGGAGTTTGTGAACACAATGAAATATCTAATGGATTCGTGGTTACATTTATATTTGGTTTTATAGTTTTCTGATTTGTTTTTGCATCAATTGCACCTTTTTCCAATTCAGGTGTTGTTTGAGAATTTTTTCTCGATGATTCATTTGATGTTATGTAATTTACTAAACTAGTGCACGAATTTTCCTTCTCTTTTTCTTTGGCAGCAACAAATGACATAAGAGAATTGATCTGGTTTGGATCTGGTTGGCCAGCGTCCACCGATCCTCTCACTGGAGTACTAAAAATAAAAATGTTCACAAATATTGTATTCTTTTTTTTCGCAATTTATTTTTCATATTATTGTAGCAGTAGATCCGATCAACTAAATTCAAGATAATATCTACTTAAAAAAAAATCTTAAAAAAAATTATCCAAATTATTTCAATTTCAGAGAAAATTTTCATTTTAATATTCAAGCTTTATTTTCTCTAATTAAACTAATTATTATTAAAAAAAAATTTCTTTTTACAGAAAATCTCTGCGAGTACAATCGTCTGATATTAATTATTCGAAATAATTCCAGGTAAAAAATTTTCTGAAGTAATTATAATAACAGAGGGAAAATAATCAAAAGTACTATTTTTTATTAAAAAAAAAAAAAAAAAAAAAAAAAAAAAAATTAAATTCAAAGTTAAAAAAATTATTTGCTTTCATAAATTGGAAATATTTTTTCCATTTAAAAATTTATTTATATTTGAAGTTAAGATATAAGAAAGATATTAAAGAAGATAAATAATAATTTCTTGTAGTTTAGCAAAATACTTGAGAATATAAAATATTTATAATGAGTTCTTTTTTTTTAATAAAGCCTCTTTATTGTGAAAAGAGGTCTTTGAAGAGAAAAAAGATTTCAGAACAAACGATGTGAACTGACTTTCGACAGAGACTTTTCTTGTCCTTCTGATATCGTTATCGGATTTTCTTTTCAACTTACTTTTTTTTATCTATTCTCAGCAGTTACTATTTTTTCTAGAATTATAGTTATTTTTGTCGAAAAAAATAAAACTTGTCCCTTAGGGCTTTTTTAAAAATGTTTCCTTCTTACCTAAAGAACTCTGTTGCTCTGAGATCTGGTAGGGGTGGTGTTCTTCCACTAATGAAGGTAAACCTGGATTCTTGATGAGCGCCAACCAAAGGAGTGGGTGGTGGTGGACCGGGACCATCTAGGACGCTACTATTTAAATTTGGTGCCTGAGTTTTGGGGGCAGTGCTAAGTTGTGCATTTATTGTGCCATTGGTCTTGTTGTTGTTATTGTTATTATTATTATTATTTGAATTATGATGATTATTTGTCGTGCCATTTTCTACGGGGTTGGAATTTATCCCTTGGGGCTGATTATTCGTCGAGTGCGAGGGATTGGTCTGTGAAGGATTTGAAGTGGGTGGAGGTGACATTTCTGGAAGAACATCAACAAGGTCTAAACTATCGTCGTGTTGCTCTCCATCTGTATTCGTTACCTGAAACAAAGATAAAAAAAATTATATTTCCTCCAAAAAAAATTTCAAATATATAAACAAAAGTTTTTTAATTTTTTTTAAATTTCCTGCATCAACCTTGCTAGAAGCTTACCGTGCAAGCTTGCTGAGCAATCTTGCGATAATCTTATTGTACAATCTTGCAGTAACCTTACATTGCAATCTTTCGGTAAGCTTACCATGCAAGCTTTCGGTCAGGTGGGACATTTGAAGCTTGCCGCAAGCTTGCGTGCTAAAATAAACTTCATTTCTTCAGCAGAAATATCGGATTAGAAAATATTTGTAAATAAAATTAGATTAAAATTAAAGAAGAAGAAATTGATTAATTGAAAGAAATGTGTACCAAGGTCATCATGGTGTTTGCACTGTCTGTACTGGTGTTGATTGTAGTTTCGGATGCGGTACTCGATCCCATAACCACCACCTGGGGTACCGCTCTGCAACTACGGGTGCCAGCAGTCTTAAAATGAAATCTCCGTAAAGCGGAAGCTGCTTGAGACAATAGATCTCCATCGCGGGAATTTTCAGTCCCATGTTGATTACGCGACGACTGCGACGTTGCTAAATTCCCCGAATCACACCCGTTACCCTTTAAATTGACCACCTTGCCAATAGAACCCCGGTTATCAGAGCATTCCTGAAATCAAAAATAAAAAAAATTCGTTCAAGATTTATAAAAAAATAAAAAAGAAATAGTGATTATTTTTTTCTGACCCTTTTTCCGCAATCCCGAATCCAATGTCCTCTTAACGAGGGTACATTGGCACGATCGATTGCGTTTTCCCGCAGTATAGCACAGCTCTGGTGATATCATAATATTAGTTGCCATCGAGTAATCTGGGTCATGTGTTTTACACACTCACACACACACACACATACATTGCTGATATGTGTGCGCGCACAACGAGTGCAAATCAACCACGTTGTAAATTTTATCATGCTTACGGCAAGTGCAAGGTCTTTCATTGTAAACTTAGAAAATTATTTGCATAAGCTTCTTAAGTTGTACATAGAAGAAACTTTGCCAAACAATCACTTGAAAAGAATATATTTCATAATTTCGGAAATTTATTCGCAATGATCTTGATTTAAAATGTTATATTTTATTTGTTATTTAAATCGAAATTAAAGTTATGTGATTGTTGTGATAATATTCGCTTCAGGTTTTCTCGCTCAAAATATTTGATAGATTGAGTTAAAATTTTGTGAAGAATTCCAAAATAGTATAAGAATTCGTTGTCATTAGATTATATTAATATTTTATCAAAAAAAATTATTCTTAACAAATTCCAATTGGGAAAATGATCTCAAAATCGTATTGATGGGACTCATGAATATTCCATAAAAATCATTAGTTAAAATTTTCATATTTTAAAGAATTTAATTAGATATAATTATTTTTTAGACGAATTTTTATTTTTCGTGTTAACATTTGGCGGGATTTCTTTTTAAACAAATTTTTACTCAACAGAATTCTTAAAGCGACGAATTTTTATTTATCCGAAACTTCAAATGGCCGAACAAACAATCGACAGAAAGATTTCGGGAACGATATTTAAAATTCACTAATCACGATTTTTTTGACAACCTTTGATTGGTGAATTTTAAATTACGCGCCGAAATCTTTCTGTCGATTGTTTCCCGAGGCGAAATTTGAATCCTCTTTAGCTTCCCTTAGAACCTAAATAGGCCCTCTTTACGATCTTGTAGACTCCCGTAGGCCCTCCTTTGAATCCAAACGTGGAAGAAAGGTAAATTTGCGACTGGTTGAGGAAGCTAAAGAGGGTCTAGTTCGATTAAAAAAGTACAAAAAAATGCAAAAAAAAAAACTCTTTTAATTATTTTGATTAAAGCAAAATGAATTTTTTCTTCACACAATATTTCTTTAATTACCCTTTAAAAACTGGAATTAACATATTTTAAAGCGTTTTCAAAAAATTAATAGACTTAGAGCAATTTCAAAATTTTCAATATTTTAATCAATTTTTAGACCCTACTTTAAATCCAAACGTGGAAGAAAGGGAAATTTGCGACTAGTTGAGGAAGCTAAAGAGGGTCTGTTTAACTCTACTTTACTCCTTGTAAATTAGGGCTTAAATTTCGCCTCGGGTTGTTCGGCCATTTGTAATATCGGATAAATAAAAATTCGACGTTTTATAAGAATTTTACCAAATAAAAACTCCGAGCCTAAATATTCTGTTAAAATTTTTTTAATTAATTCTGACAAATGTTAATTCGAAAAATGAAAATTCTTCTAAAAAATAATTATATCTAATAAGATTGTTGAGAATGAAAATTCTAACTAATGATTTTTATGGGATAAGCAAGCGCCCCGTATTGACGACATATTGAATTTTCTTCAAATATGCAATTTTTTAATAATAAATTTTTTGACAAAATATTAATGAACTTTGGTACATGATAACGAATCCTTATACTATTTTTGAGTTCTCCACAAAATTTTAGCTCAGTCTGTCAAATATTTTGAGCGAGAAAACCTGCGAAGAATATTTACATGTGCACCCTGAAAAAAGTAATATAATATTTAGAGGAAAAATCCTCTTCTAATATCCTCTCAATTTTTCCTCTTAAAACAAAAGTATTCCACTTGAATGTAGAATATTTTTATTCTTTGGTGACTAATAATAAAACAAAACAATTTTTTTGCGGTTCTGATGTCAAAAACATTGAATTAAAGTTAAATAAATAAACAAATCTATTAATTAATGTAAGTAATTAAATATAAATCATTAATTATATTTAATATTTAATTAAAGATATTTAATTTAGTGCATGATAATAGCTTTTCTTTATCAGTTTATAACCATAATTGTCAAATTATATGCGAGTGGAAAATCCTCTCAAGTGAAGACTATTACTTTTGATACAATATATAAGAGGAAAATATGCATCAAATTAAGAGGAATTCGCTAGAATCAAGATTACTTTTTTTAGGGTGTGAAATCACAACAGTTAAAGAAACTTCAAAAAAATGTAGGTTATGTTTACTGATAGTTTTACCTTGATGAAAAATTTCTTTTCAAATAGGTAAAATCAAAATTAGTTTTTATGGAATTTTTTGAATGTAATGGAGGCTAAAGTTTTGTATCACAGACATAACCTAAATTTTTTTTAAAGTTTCCTTTCTCATGGAGTGTCACATATATATGAATATTTTTTTAATAAAAGAATATAAATTCTTTCTTTTTATCCTCTACAATTTTGAGAATATTAGATTAAGTGGTCTTTATTTTTTTCCTTGTTAAGGATAAGACCCTATTCCATAATGTCGTTACTTCCGCCTTGAAAAGAAATGACCAGAGGGAAAATCGTAAAGCTCTTGCTTTTTCCTCCGCAAGAGGATCAAGATTTTTATATCTTATTTCCACCAAAACGAAAAAGACGATTCAGCTTTTAAAATTTCGGTATTTTTCTTTTAAAATTACAAAATTTGTTTTAATAAAAAAAAAAAATATCAGAAAATCAAACCTAAATACCAAAAATGTTTTTGATTATGTAAAATATGCTTTAGTTGTGCATATTTTGAACTAACAAATATTTTTGCAAGTCAGATATAACATAACCGGAAGGCAGAAATTATAATAACTGGTTTTGAAAAATAAAAGCGAAACAACTAATTCTGCAAAATGCAAATTCACATATATACAGAAAGCTATACACGACTGACTATAAGCGCAACAATGGAAAACAACAAAGCCGACAGTATGTATATACAGTCATTGAAAAGTGAAGACAACTAGTAGCACAACTCGAGATTAATTACCACCCAGCCAATTAAGAACTGCGTTTCAAAATGTTTTCTACATAATATCAAACCAAGAGATATTAAACAAAGGGAAAAACTAGCAAACGCGAATATTGTATACGCAAACGAAAATTTTCATATTTGTATATCACTCATGTGGAAAATTTCAAAATGACCTTAAAAAGTGTAAGCAAAAATAACTCCTGAAAAAAAACTTTTATGTTTCAGAAATTAATTATCACTTTTTCAAAGCAAAAAAAAAAAAAAAAAAAAAATGGGGTGAAGGTAAAAAAAATTGAAAAATCTGGAATAAAACGCATTTTAGAATATGTAAACACAAGTTTTGCGAATTTGTCATGTGGAAAAAGTGAAAATTAAACAATATTTGTTAGTGAAGTACATACAATTAAAATATACCCTCTATCTATGTTTACCCTCTATGTATGTTCGGAGAATTCATTAGACGAATTAGGGACAGCACTGAGATCTGTTTAATGACTTTGATGATTCAGCCCCTATGTTGTCAATTTAGTTTTACCTCAGTCGCATTAATGATGGTGTTGTCTGTTGAATATTCAATCCTCAAGATTATGTCCAACGGAATATAACCATCATTTACATGATAATTTTCCGCGCTTCCATATACAGTTCATTTCATTTCAAGTGGTATTGCTAATTTACATTTAATCTTTAATTTATGTTTATTAATTCATTTTGAAAATAATATATCACTGGACAAAAATATTATCACCCAGAAGAATGTTTCTTTAAATCAAAGAACTATTTCTTTGATTTAAAGATGTATTTCTTTGATTTAAAGAAACATTTCTTTGGGTGTATTAAAAAAAATCCATGTACTTTTCTTGATCAAAGAAAATTTTATCAGTTTGATGGAATGATTAGTCTATAAAATGATTATTTTGATAAAAATCATTAGTTAGAATTTTCATTTTCGAGAATTTGATTCTAATTATTTTTCGGACAAATTTTCATTTTTCTAATTGAAATTTGAGAGAATTTCCTTTTAAAACAAATTACTTTACAAAATTTTTAAGTAAAGAATTTTTATTTAGCTTTTATTTCTCAGAATTTCTCTATATCTAATTTTTAAAAAATTAGAATTCTAATTTAACCGAATTTCAATTAAGCATAATTCCTATTTTTTGAATTGAATTGAAATTTAAGTTATTTAAAATTTTTAAATGTCAGAATTTCCAATTCCTCAAATCTTCATTTGTTCGAATTATTGTTTGTACGAATTTTTATTGACAGATTTTTTGAAACGACAAATTTTCATTTCTCCGAAATTGCAAACGACCGAACAAATACAATCGACAGTAAAATTTCGGCGCGTTTCTTAAAATTAACCAATTAGAAATTATCAAGAAAATCGTGATTCGTCAATTTTAAAAATCGCGTCAAAATTTTACTACTGATTAGTTTTTTCGGTTATTTGTAATTTCGGACGTTTCATTTATTTGTAATTTCTTTCGTTTTAAGAATTCTATGAAATAAAAATTCGGTCAAATGAAGTTTTAGTAAATCGAAAATTTTTACATTTTAAAATTTGAATCAGTTAAAATTCAGTTAAATGAGAATTATACAAAATTAGAATTCGGTTAAATTAGATTTTTATAGTTTATACTAAATAAAATGTTGAATAAAGAGAAATTCAGCGTGAAATAAAAGTTCTACTAAATAAAAATTTTGCTAATAAGTAAAAATTTGATTAAAAAGAAATTCTGCTTTCGAAAAAATTCATAATTCGAAAAATAAAAATTCTTTTAAAAAATAATTATATCTAATAAAATTTTTGAAAATGAAAATTCCAACTAATGATTATATCGGATAATTCTGATTTTTGTTTCAAT